CCGAGTCGGGGTTCAAAAAAAAACCCCCCCCCCCCCCCTTGCTTTCCAAACTCCATCTCGGAGAGAAGTCCGGGTGTTGCTGGATCCAATTCCAGCCCCCGACTTGGTCCAGGGGTTCTGCTCCAAAGGATTATAATCTAATCTAAGATATAAACTCAGTGAAGCTTCAAAGTCTGCCCAACCACGAGCCACTTACTGGGGACCTGCTGGGGCAAGGAATCTGTGAGCCTCGAGGAGTAACCTTGAGAGGCACCTCCCCACCCAAGGGGTGCAGCCCAGCTCAAAGGGCTCCTGGGCCGCTCACTAATTACTGGGGGGGGGGGCAGATGATTGAGTTACATTTGCATATTGACACAGTGTCATCCCTGCGGTTGGGGGCTGCGCCGATCAAGTTAGACCTTGGCTATTGTGTCCTCTGTCTCCCCAAAACCCACTCAATCAAGTTAAACCTTGGCTATCGTGTCCTCTGTCCCCCAAAACTCACTCGATCAAGTTAGACCCCCCCCCCCCCCCCTTGCTTTCCAAACTCCATCTCGGAGAGAAGTCCGGGTGTTGCTGGATCCAATTCCAGCCCCCGACTTGGTCCAGGGTTTCTGCTCCAAAGGATTATAATCTAATCTAAGATATAATCTCAGTGAAGCTTCAAAGTCTGCCCAACCACGAGCCACTTACTGGGGACCTGCTGGGGCAAGGAATCTGTGAGCCTCGAGGAGTAACCTTGAGAGGCACCTCCCCACCCAAGGGGTGCAGCCCAGCTCAAAGGGCTCCTGGGCCGCTCACTAATTACTGGGGGGGGGGGGCAGATGATTGAGTTACATTTGCATATTGACACAGTGTCATCCCTGCGGTTGGGGGCTGCGCCGATCAAGTTAGACCTTGGCTATTGTGTCCTCTGTCTCCCCAAAACCCACTAAATCAAGTTAAACCTTGGCTATCGTGTCCTCTGTCCCCCAAAACTCACTCGATCAAGTTAGACCTTGGTTATTGTGTCCTCTGTCTCCCCAAAACCCACTCTGAGCTCCACTCGTCACGACCAGAGGTATCCATTTTGATGGCCACGGGTGGTGACCACTCGGACAAGGCTTACAGAAGACAAAGATCAGGTTTGGGGGTGGGGGGTTGGAGCACACCTTCACAGCCACCCCATCCCACACCCGTCCGTGCCGTACGGCGGGGAACCGCCTCAGCTCCTGGCAGAGGGGCCACCAGCCACCTGGGTGGGGGGTGAGCCCACCCCTCAGCCTGGCACAAAGGGCCTGGGGCACCGGGAGCGGTGCCGGCACCACCATCAGAGATGCCGAGGATGCTGAGCTACGTCATTTATTGGGGGGCAGCAGGGGCCGGGGGGGGTGTGTGCTGTTAGAAGCGCAGGTGCTTGCCCAGCCACAGCACCATGTTCATGAAGCCATCGGCTTCAGCCTTGACGCCGGCCAGCGCGTGGCCATTTCCCGGATACAGGAGCAGCCTGGAAGGGAGAGGGGGGGGTTAGCCCCCTCCCTGCCCCCCCCTCCCCCCCCCCCCCCGCCCAAAACTGGGCACCCAGCACCCCACTCACCGCGTGGGGACCCCGTGGGCCTTCAGGGCACGGTAATACTCCAGCCCCTGCTGGGGGGGCACCCGGCGGTCATCCTCCCCCAGCATCAGCAGCACGGGCGCACGGACCTACGGGAGCGGCACAGCCTCAGCGCTGATGGGGACGGGGACAGGGACAGGGATGGGGACAGGGATGGGGACGGGGATGGGGACGGGGATGGGGACGGGGATGGAGATGGAGATGGGGACGGGGATGGGATGGGGATGGAGATGATGGAGATGGGATTGGGATGGAGACAGGGATGGAGATGGATGGGATGGGATGGGATGGGGTGGGATGGAGATGGATGGGGACGGGGATGGAGATGGGGACGGAGATGGGGATGGGGACAGGGACAGGGACGGGGATGGAGACAGGGATGGAGATGGAGATGGGGATGAGGACGGGGACAGGGATGGGGCCGTACCCGGTCGACGTAGCGTATGGGCGACTTGTGCAGCATCTCTGTCCACTGGGCCGGGTCCGGCAGGGCGTCGGGCGCGTAGGGCAGCCCCGTCTCTGTCAGGCACCTGCCAGGAAGAAGGATGGGGGTCACGTGTGGGGCTGGGGTGGCGAGGGGCCGGGGCCGGCAGTACTCACCAGTCGGGGATGTCAGTGGCGGCCACCATGGAGGCGATGTTCACCACCGGGTTGCGGACTACGCAGGCGTGGTAGGTGTCAGGGAACTGGCCGAGGAGGTGGCACGCCAGGAAGCCTCCATGTGAGCCACCGACCAGCGCCACCCGCCCGGCATCCAGTGACTCCTCCTGCAGCACCCGCTCCACGCAGAGCTGCCACACCACGGGGGACACCCACTGAGGCAGGTGGCCCCCCTGTTCCTCCTTGGGGGTACCAGGGAGGACATGGAGTGCCCCAGGGTCAGGACCGTGTGCTGAGGCCGTACCTGCACATCATGCACGTCCTGCGTGCCCACGTTGCCCGGCAGGGAAGCCACACTGTCCTGGCCAAAGCCCAGCGAGCCACGGTAATTCACTGGTGGGGGGACGGGGATGTCAGAGCCCTTCCTCCCCCTGCCACAGCCCCACCGTGGTGGCCATGCCACCCAGCAGTGACCAGGCCCCCCTGGCATCACTCACCCAGCAGCACGGCGAAGCCCACGCGGCAGAGCGCTGCTGGGTACAGCATCCACCCGGCCGTGAAGACGGAGTGTGGACCCCCTGGGAAAAGAACAAGGGGGTGATACTGCCCAGCCAGGGCCGGGGCATAGCATGGGAGGGGAGGGGCAAGTTCTTACCATGGGGCATCACGACCAGGGGGTGCTTCTGGGCGGTGCGGTCCTCGCTTGGGCGCAGCAGGATGGCATCGAAGTCCAGGCCCCCTGCGGAGGTGGGTGGTGGGGTCAGAGCTTAGTGGGGGTGGCAGGACCCAGCCATCCTGGGTGTACTCACTGTACTGAGGGTGCTCCTGCTCCGGCAGGGGCCGCAGGGTGCGGATGCCCCAGCTGATGCCGGGCACGGGGGGGGCATCCTGCAGGCAGACCCACTGCAGCTGCGCCTCCAGGCCAGCGCTGGGCAGGACGGCCACTTTCTGCACGGGGAGAAGGGTCAGTGCCAGCCCCGAGAGTGGCTGGTGGGCACTGGGGAGGGGACAGCACCTTACCAGTGTGTGGGGGCAGCTAGGGGTGGAGAACCTGGCCACCAAGATGTCCCGGTCAATGGTGAGGACAGACCAGCTTCCCTGGGGGGCATCTGAGGAGAAGGGGGAGTCAGACCTGCAGGTGTGACCCCCTCCCCAGCCCTGGCACCAGAACGGTCCCCCTGGCCTGGCACTCACCGGCTGTCAGCGAGGTCGTGGCGCCCGTCACCGTATCAACCACGAACATGTCCTAGGGGGATAAGGACAGAATCCAGCACAGGACCCACCCTGCCCCCCCTGGCGTCCCCCCTGCCCCCCTGGCACAGCTGCCCTCACCTGCTGGCTGCGCTGGGCCGTGTCCAGCACCAGCCTGCGGCTGTCGGCCGCCCAGCACAGCCCCGGCAGAGCGCTGCAGTAGATTCCCGGGAAGGCACCTGTCATGAGAGCAGCAGTGCTCAGCATCCCCCTAGTGCCCCCCCCATGCCGCCCCCAAGGCTGTACTCACCCGAAGTCTGCCGCGGCACGGCCGCCAGCACCGTGCTGGTCTGCTTAGTGTACCAGTCGTACTGTGGGAGACGAGGGATGGGATGAGTTTTGCAGGCTCTCAGCCTGCCCATTCCCCGCTGCATCCCAGAGAGGGGGGCACCACCACCCCAGTGTCCCACCGGCGTGTCCCCCCGGGGGCTGCTCACCATGCGGAGGCGGCTGCACTGCTGGTGGGGACCAAAGAGGTCGTTCTCCAGGTAGACGATGCGGCAGTGGTCAGGGCTGAGCCGCGGGGACCACACGGCCGTGTTGTTCTCGGAGAGCTGCTCTGCAGGGGAACGAGGGGACGGTGAGGGGCCGGGGGGAGCCGGGGCACCGGCAGGGTTGGGGCACGCGCTGCTTACCACATGCCCCACTGGTAAGGTCCACGTAGAAGAGCGCTGACCTGCCGGCAGAGACGGGGTGTCACCATGGGGCCGGGTGGCCTGGCTCTGTGGGGCGGGTGCCCTGCGGGGACTCACCGGCGGTTGGTGCAGTGCTGCAGCCCCAGGCGGAAGGGCTCGGACCACCAGCCCACAAAGACCACGCCGGTGTCATCGGGAGACCAGAAAGCCTGGGGGAAGAGGAGCAGTGAGCGGCTCAGCCTCCTGCTGGCCCCCAAAACCTCCCTTCTCTGGTTCCCTGGTGCTCCCCATCCTGACCTGGCCGGGAGAGAGGTGCTCCGGGACGCCCTCCAGCACCGAGATGCTGTTGTCCTCGATGTCCATGACGCAGAGGACGGGCACGCTGCGTTTGCTCAGTGCTTCCCCCCAGTCCTCGTGGTACACAAACTGCTCGCCCTGTGGAACAACCCCATCAGCCCCAAAGCCACCCCACCGGATCCCACCAGCCCCAGGGCAGGGGGACCCCACCTTGAGGGGCACATCTGCCTTCTTGGGGCACCCCACATCCTCGTTGGAGGCATCCAGCTCGGGGGGTTTGCTCTGGAAGAACGACTCGGCCTTGGGACGCTTCTTCTCCGCCACGTAGAGCAGGTGGGTCTCCGAGTGCGTCCAGGCCAGGCAGCCAAAGTGGTCTGCAGGGGGGGGGTTAAGCACCAGCCACCGTGTCCCCCCAGGCCCCCCACCTCTCCTGGCATCCCCCAGGCCCTCACCATCATCATAGACGGTGCCGTGCTTGTCCAGCGCTGTCAGGTCAATGCTCTTCACCTTGCAGTTCTGATCCCAGACCTGGGGGCAGAGATGCCAGAGCAGCCCCATAGCACAGCGTGAATCTGGTCCCAAGCCCCAGGGAGTGTCCAGCTCCCGCCTTAACTCCCCCTCACCTCCAGAAACTGCTTCTCCTCCTCCTTCTCCTTGCTGGGCACCTTGCGCAGGACAGCCTTCAGCGCCCCGCTGGGGGACTCCTGGCTCAGCAGCCTGCAGGCAGGGGGGTGCCCGTCAGTCCAGGGTGCGGGGGACAGGACGGTGTGGGGGGACAGGACGGTGTGGGAGGACAGGACGGTGTGGGGCACAGGACGGTGTGGGGGGACAGGGTGGGACAGGACTCACTCGTCCTTGATCTCAGAGCAGGTGCCGGCAGGCCCCGAGTAGACGACGGAGGTGCCATCGTGGAAGATCAGGTACTGGCGGCAGAACTTGACGTTCTCGGCCCGTGCCAGGTCCCGCTGCGACCACTCTGGGAGGAGGAGGAGGGTGAGGACACCTGGGGTGTCTCTGCCAGACAGATGGAGACCCCCCCGGCCTCCCTGGGGGGACACCCCGTCCCCGTACCGGTGTAGAGGCTGCAGTACTTGCCCCCGTACTGGGTGGTGACATCGGGGCCGAGGCAGGCAGCCCGGAGCCCCGGGTGGCGGCTCAGCTCCCGGTACACCTCCACCACCTCCTCCACATTCGACAGCACCTGCAGGACCCACCGGGGTGGCTGGGGGCACGGGGTGATAACCGGGGAGCGGTGGGGCATAGGGGGCAGTTTCTGGGGCACCAGGATACGTGGGGAGGGGGGATTAGGAGGGTGGTGGGGCAGTTATTGGGGAATTAGTGCCGATTTCAGGGCAGTTTTGTGGGGTGCACAGGCGGGGTAGGGGTGGTATGGGAGTAATGGGGGCAGTTATTGGAGGGCTAGGGGCAGTCCCGGGGTACCAGTGGTTACCGGGGGGGTGGGCAGTTATTCGGGTGCTGGGGGCAGCGCCTGGGGGTGCCGAGCTGGGGCTGTCACTGGGGCACAGGGAGGATTCGGTGGGTGCTTAACGGGGCTGTTAATGGGGCACACGGGCAGTTACCGGGGGTGCAGAGCCCGGTGGGTGGGAGGGCAGCGAGGGCCATTACTGGGGTGCACAGGGGGGATCAGGACGGCACTGGGGGCTGTTACTGGGACAGGGCGGGGGCAGCCCTGGGGGCCGCAGAGC